TCATGAGGAAGACATTTTTATTGTGAAAAAATCAGATAAGGGCATGAATTTGCATGAAAGCATTCAATATGTACCGCATTGATTTATCGGAAACAGAAAAACAAGTGCAATTTTGGGTTATAGCCGTAGAAAAATCAATATTGTTTAAAGTGAGTTGGTGTATCTTCAAACATTATTAATAAGGTTATGATGTCCAAAATCAGTACTTACGTTAAAAAGATCTACTGGGTGTCGATGTGAAGTTTGGTCATCAGTCAGATGCACTACTAATGTTTTTATTGTTTACTAGAAAATGTAACAAACAGTTGTTGTTGTGATCCATGTAACATCTATTATTGACGACATTCAATGTGGCCGTGGGTGAGCCCTTACTTACATAATTAGAAATAATAAATACTGCGTAAATATTCGCTATTCCATTTTTATTACATCGTACGTATACGGCTTCCTATCTATTTAGAACAATTCTAGATTAAACTTTACATTATATACAGAAAATGTTTTTAACATCTTCACATTCAACAACTATACTCTTTTATAAGTAAATAACAACATCATTGTTCGAGAGATGATTTCATGAAATTGACATGTCTTTGACATCAGGTTCACAAAAAACATATACCTTAAAAATAATAAGATCATTTGAGATATAATACGAATCGTTTCGAACGGAAGTGTTACTATCATAATAAGGTCGATTAATCGAAGTATACAGGGTGTTTCTAAATGTCATGTAGATATATCTAAATAAGTGGTTCATTGGTCTTTTATTGTCTACCCTGTATAGCCAAAGTTTGGACAATATTCCCTTTGGTATATGCTATATTGACTAAAATAGTGCAAACATTTCAGAATACTAGGTACATAAAACACTGAACGACAAAAAACCCGACCAGCATGAAAATTAGCTAAATTGATATCCTTGAAACTTTTTTAATTCTCGCTCGATTTTCACAAAATTCCCACCAACTCTGTTGACCTGAATTTCAGATCCTAAAAAGAGCTGATGACTTGATCATTATACAGGGGAAAACGAAAGTTACTATTTCACGCTTAGTGCTTGAACTTAGCTTCATCATGTTTGGGATTGAAGTGTGAACCCTACCTAACACAATAGTTTTTGATTCACATCAATATCGTCTTTTTAAGAGAAGATACACGAGTTTTGAGAAAAGATACAATAGTTTTAAGAAAGTATGGATTTTTTGATTTTGCAGAACACAAATGAACAACTAACTTATCGATTAACCACTCGGAATAGTATATTACATCACAGAAGTTGTAAAACGCATATTACGTATGAAGTGCTACGCGGCATCGTGTGTAACTCCACAAGTGCGTAATTGTAGTACAACTCGAGAAATGTACTGTACTTTTTCTACGACTACACTATACTTCTTCAGGATAGTACATACATAATTATATTGTTTTGAGACATAAATATCGAAGAAGTCTCTAGTCACTTCGTGTTGACTGCATGAAGAGGTACAAATTACAATTATTCTTGTATTTGTTCATTGGTAAATTGTCATTTTCCTCAATTCGAACTGAACTGAAGCTGTTTCTCATGTCTCAACAAATAAATAAATAACAAAACACTCATTCGATAAACATATAAAATTATTATAATGGTTATTTATAGTCACTGTGTACCTAGCTGTTGAAAATAAACCAGCAAACACGACGAAAAAACAAAAATCTATATCCCCCTTTATTACGGCGTCACTGAATATCCTGTTCAGCGGTTGCCTAGTAATTAAATGAGATTTTCTATCATTTATCGGTTCTGACATCCACTATTTTATTATATTTCAAGAAAATGAAATAAGTCAATGAATTCACCTTCTCCATATTTAATGTTCATGACATTTAGGAACAACCTGTATATACAGGGTCATCCAAAAACTAAGTAAGATATATTAAGGGAAAATAGTTTATTATTGGAGTCGACCAATTTTCTATGGATGATTTGTTATGCTTCTCCGTTAACCTAAACAGGGTGTCCCAAATAATTCATGGAATAAAAGAAATGGAGTGGTAGAGGAGGACATTTGCAAGCAAACTATAATAACGGTATATGTGGTTATCCAATTGTTGATGGTTCAAGAGTTATTCTGTTCTTCTGGAAAATATGATCCATTTGGAATGAATTGATTACAAAAAGGATGTTTTTAATCACCCCGTATGTTATACCATTTCGGAATCTGTATTAAATGGGCAACTTTCTCTCATAGTTGGTTATCTTTGTGGGGTAGTTTTCAAATCTGCCAGCGGTATTAATAGTAGATTGTTTTATTAGGATCAAAAGTGACACTTTGTTTGACAAGCGAATTTTGCAATTTGCGAGGCGGAGCGTTTAGCGAAGCCGAGCGAAAGCAAAATTTGCGAGTCGACCAAAGTCACTTTTGATCCGAATGAAACATGCTATTTTTTCTGCAACCGAAACAACTCAAATAAACATGTGAAGTAACCACCAATGCCGTGTCATATGTATGCAATGCAACAAATATTGACAAATAATCCATGTGGTGAGAATATTCTACCTGCATTAACAGCAGGTTAGGTTTTCTAGGATATTCGAATTGTAGTTTCAATATAAATACAACAACAGAAAGACATATTTGTGTATGGACCAGGTGCTCTAATGGCAAATACCGCGCCAGTGCCAGGCTATAGGAACAAGACGTGGAAAATGTTAGGTTAGTGAGCATATCAACAATGATAATAATGATTATTTATTCCTCTCCATACTACACTGTGTTTGACTTGATAATCAAATGAAGCTGAACACTATCGTTGTTTGAAACAAAACAACTATTGCTTGCCGTGATTATTCAAAAGCAAGTTATCCATCCCGAGAATAACGAATGAAATACAGATCAAGAAAGTATTTGAATCTTGAAGGCTTCCCTGATCAAAACAAAAATACTTAGCTGAGATGTTTATAATTCCAATAATAAACTATGATAAGGTGTATTTATATCTCCAGCATAGGTATGGAATGTCTAATCTGCTGAAATCGGAAACAAATCAGGTATGCCTCTCAACCCAAATAACCAACCGTCACAATGTTGTTTATTCTTGATGACGTCCAGTAGATCCTTTTTAGTTCCTAGGAGCTGAAGTTCAACTTCAGCTCCTAGGAACTAAAATTCAACTTTAGCTCCTAGGAACTAAATATGTTGCCTAGCAACATACCTATTTTTGTGTCAGTAATAGAAACGTCAATTTAAGAGCTAATTTTGCTATCAAAATGGACGACTTTTGTGTCGGTTGCAGAAAAAAATCAATTGATTTGAATATTTCATTCTACAATACTTAATAAATGCATCCTAGCACGTTTTTTACTATTTCTGTTTCTAGGATCTGTAGTTGAAATCTTTTTATGTAATATCGGGACACCCTGTATAGTAATGTTTTTCAATATACCGCCATACAAGTGATCATGTGACATGTATCGGAATCGATTTCTAGGATCGATATTCTAATAATAAACTTTCCCTTATTATCTACAGAGTGTCTCAGACCTTTGAGGTCGGCACTATTTGATGGAAAGTGTGAGTATAAATTTATTCATCTGATGTATCTGATTGGATTGATTCAGTTCATCGGGACACACTGTATGTGGGGATATCGACATTTTCAAGTAGCACGTTTGTACTAATTTCTATTCTTGGCAAATTACTCTGACTCTAGTTATCAAAATTATCAATATTTGCCTATCTATAACTAAACCTAATATTTTATCTTTATCACATATATGGTATTAGTATGAGTCACAAATATCAGGTGGAAATGAAGAATACTATGACAATATAATTATGTTCGATATTTGGAAAATAATATGTATACATGGTGTGACCTCGAATTTTGGAAATGCTACATCAGAATCATATGAATCTCAAATACTAGAACTTCGGAAATCAATTAGGAAATGAAACAAATTGTGCTCGAATATACAGGGTGTTACAGGAAAACATTCAATGGTACCTAGATCATATTGAGGTATAGCACCCTGTATAATATTCTATTCCCTGTGTTTCGGAGAAACCCATCTGAATGTTTATACTATAAGCTAGAAATCAATCTAAGGGATCAAAATAGTATTGGAAGGTCTCTCGAAATTTCCAACAATTCCAGTATTTCTCAAGAAGTGGCAGATGCAACAAATTGAAAATTCATTGGCAAGGTTTTTAAGCACGACTAGGATAAAAAGACGATCCAAATTCAAATAAACTGTCGAAATTCAGCCTGGTTGGCGTTCTTTCCAAAGCACTCTTCGCAAAAATGTTTTTTTCCCAATTTTGATCAACAGGAAAGATTCGATCATATCGTGTGATACATCATTGTATTCAGAAAAAAAAGATTTTTCAAAAATGCGAATATCCAATATGGCGCCCATAAGCAGAAACAAAGTTGTGTGTTGTAACTTTGACAGCAAGAACGTCATGGAAAATACAATGACAGATTCAGATTCCTTGTCAAAAAGTAAGTCGAGAATGTGTCAGTCAGAAACGTCTAGGTCTTTTGGTTTCTGCTTGAAAAAATGAAAATGAAAATTAAAAATGTTCGTTTTCTCCCAATAATTGAAGAACTGAAAAAGACACATTAAATTTCCTTGCAGATGAATGTTCAGCATTTAAATGCCCAACTTTGCCCTGATCTAACCGACCTCGTATCTCTTATAATAACTGAGATCCCCATGGTTGAGCTCAAAAAACGGACACCCTGTATAGTCTATCCAAAGCCAGTTGGAGCGTCTGGAGACAACACAACCTCCAGCTAAAATCTAATACTGTTTCTCCTCGTATAATAAATAACTATCGAATCAAAGAAACGCATTTGTGTACTTGCTTATTGCCTTTGCGATTTTCTTTTTCTGATTCTTGCTAACGTAAACATAACTACAACAGTCAACTCCTACAGCTAGGCCGTCAGGTATATCTGTGTTGAATACTCCATCTTTGCTATGTTTGGGTAATGAAACAAAGACATATCTTTCAAAAATCGTCTATGACCTCCATTCGGATTTTGCGGCCGAAAGAAGGGTTCAGCTGGGGCCCATCGTCCTCTGAGTCCGAGTCCCCAGTATAGGGCTTCAACGGCCCCCCCAGATCGTCGTCATCGTCCAGCTGGAAAACAAGAGCGATTATCACGAAGCCGTGGCTTGGTCTTGATGAGGGAGTGCGACCTGGTAAACTTTGGGACAGTATGGTGTCCTGAAGTTAACCTGGTACCCAGGCAACCAGATGACGTTTCAGTGACGTCTTTTTACGTCAGTTGAATGACCAAGGTGACGTCAGGAGTTGACGTCGTATGACGTGATAAATGACGTGAATAAGTCACAGCCCAATGACGTCATATTACTCACCTTTATTGACGCCATTCAATCACCAAACGGTGACGTTGGACTGACGTCTAAATAACGTCAAAATGCCGTTCAAATTTGGTGATGACACGTAAGAAAGTTTGCTCGAAGATTGTGTGATGATTACCACTGACCTCTGATGACATATAATATTGATTATGCATTGTTGAGTCTGCTTGGTGGTCCCTCCGGTGTCATGTCCATTCAATCGTCTATACAGAAGCGCTATCCCTCAGTTCGCATCTCCATCAGAATGAAATAAGTTACTCGTATTTGTATAAAAAATAATAAAGTTTGTGTCGGAAAGATGTAAGCAAACCAAGAATAGTTTGGCAGCAATAATGAAAAGGATGTTGGCGAATTCAGCTTCACTTTGTTGAGTACCGTATATTCATGCATTATTTGTCACCCAACAAAAATCCAAATAGCCAATTATTGAAAAATTTTCTGAATGACGAAGTTCACCAAATTTGTACGTCACACCGACGTGATTTTTAGACGTCATAGATACGTCACTGCAACGTCAATATAAGTTCACCTATATTATCATTCGTATATAGCTTGAAATGGTTTCCGAGATATACAGGGTGTCAAAGTTCAAATAAAGTTTTCTCTTACTTTTTGGGTACATACAGGGTATTCCATAAGTCGAGGATCAGAAGTGTGGAGGTGTTTTTTTTTTAAATCAAACTAACTGCAAATGTGGTTATCCGATTATTGATGGTTCAAAAGGTATTAATGTTTTTTCATTTCTATCAAAATAATCAATTACAATAAAATCATGTCTCATTTGTGATCTTTTCTTTCACAAATTTCTGCCACATGGATGCACCTTTCACCAGAAATAATTTTACGACATGTATTACTTCTTATCAATTACCTGAGAAAAATGTTGTTTTCCCTGAGTGGAATATTTGAGTCGATTTTCAAATGCCGCTGACAGATTTAAAAACTACCCCACGAAGATAACCAATCATAAGAAGAAGTTGCTTATTTAATAGAGATTCCGAAATGGTATAACATATGGAAGTTATTCAAAACATCAGCCTTTTTGTTATTAGTGTTTTTCGAATGGGTCGCATTTTTCAGAAAAATTGAATAACTTTTGAACCATCAACAATTTGATAACAACATGCATATACCGTTAGTTTGATTACAAATGAACCCCCTACCACCCCACTCCTTTTGATCCATTACTCATGGGACACCCTGTATAATTCCAATAAAACTTGCATGTTTATTTGGTTCAATGAGTTATACTTCTATCGACGTTAGGAGCATATATATAGAATTACCAAGACGTACATGTTTCTATATATTATCTGTGTGAAATCAATGAAAAAACGATTTTTTCTGAAAACTTTTCGACACTGAAAATGTCCATCCTGTATATATAGGTACGTCACAAACATGACGGTTTCACATGATAATATGTAAGTATACATGGTTTAGTTATGGTCTGGGAAACATAGACGTCGACAGGACGTCCCTGCAACGTCATAAAACTGACGCCTTATTTTACCCTTCTAAGTGAAGTTCACTCGGCGTCGAGATGATTATATGATTATCACGTCATAGAAATTACGTCGTAGTGACGTCATAAATTGGTGTATGTCGAAAAATCACCAATTACGTGACGTGATCATTCGTCATCTGGTTGCCTGGGTAGGACTCCAAGTGAGACCAACCTGACGCAATTTCTACTCTCTATTCGCATGCATGAATCGACAATAATGGGGGGAGTGAATCGTCAATGCTACATTGGTCATTCCAAAAATAACCACTTCATGAGATATTGGTTGTTTTCATGAAAAAAAAAACAGTACAAATTACAGATGCAAAGCAAATTCGACATAAATGAAAATGGATTCTTTTCTATAAGAAAATCATTATTGAATATAATATGATAATATAGTACCAAAGAATTTTGAAATATATCTGTCCAATATTGAAAATATCTAATTTGAAGAAATATAAAGAATAATTACAATAATAATTATTGTTTGATAGTTAACAGAAAAAAACTACTTTCCTGGATAATACCACAGATTATTGAATATCTGTTATGTTTCAGAATATAGTGATGATTCTTAGTTAACCATATTTCATTTCAAACTTTTGCTCTAGTCAGGAAGATCAGAAAGGATGAAATTAACAAATTTCGATGCATTCGTTCTTTGATGGTTTTTATGTGTCGACATAAAAAAAATAGGTAAATTGATCCTGTAACTCATTAATTTCGGTCCGATTTCAATGGAATTTCGATCTAATCGTTAATTTATTTTTCGAAATATTACCCTAGAAGTCTAAGATTGTCCTAAAATTGTTCTATCCGTCATTCGGTTGCCACCTTACGAGCAACCCTCAGAAGTCTTCGAGAGTCTTGTGCGAGCAAGGAATGACGGGGGCCTTACCTTTTATAACGTGTGATCCCAAACACTTTCTTAGGCCATCAGAAAAATTTCTGCAGTCGATGGGAATCGAACCCACGACCGGCAAGCGAATGCGGATTAAAATATAGACACTCTGTCCGCACGGCTACCTGGTCTCCAAAAGATAGGCTGATGGCTTGATCATTATACAGGGAATAACAGACGTTTGACTTTTCAACACCCTGTTGCAGAAGTGAGTCATTGACCAGTTTATTAACACGATGGTTTTTGATCTACGTCGATATCTTATTTTTCAGAGAAGATACAAGTCTTTCAAGAATGTATGGATTTTTCAAATTTGCAGAACTTTCTTAAACTTAACAACTCGAGAAAAACTGTGGAAATGTATAATAATCATTTCCACCCCATTATATAGCACTCAGAATCAGTCATGAACTATTTTTTAATTGGATATTCAATATGTCGAATCCAATATGGCGGGCAATTTTTGTAAATATGATCCTTGCCTATTCAAAATTGGAAGTTCTAAGCTCATCAAGATCAGAGTTTATACATCTTTCATACACTACACACTGTTTTACCACTAATCAAACCGATTTTTACACCTCGACACGTGTTTCGCTAACTATTTTAGCATCTTCAGGAAAAGATCAAACCCCTTCTATACATTTGAGCATGTTGGTAAGTTAAATTTTTATATCATAATACATCATATTATTTTTTCCGATTTGAGAGATAATGTCAATTCTCAATTTCAGAGGATTATCATTTTACATGCTCTCTTTTTTTGAATGTTTAACAGATGCAATTCAATGTTCGACGTGGCAAATAGCCAGGAAAGTAGTTGTCTGTTGAATATTCAGAATGATATTATGTGTGCATGCACATATATCCCTATATGAAGGAGAATGCAAATTCTCTACTTCAGAAGATTTTGTTTCCAAACTCTTATCGTGTGTTCATTAGATATAATTCAATCTTCGTCGTGACATATAGCCAGGAAAGAAATAATTGATATTTTCATCACATAGAGAATGCGAATACTCAATGTATTTCTTAATATGTATATATTTCAATCCTTTTATGTTCATTATTTGATCTGAGAATATTCCTCTTCGATAGTCGCTTTCTGTTAGATATTCTCACGATGATTTTCTTATTTCACAAAAAATAGAAATAGGCTACGCCGGATACTGCATGATGATCTAGTCATGCTATCGCCATCTAGTGGCGTTAGCATGGGTAGGTAGGGCCTTGCGGCCACGTAATACACACGTCTACTTATTACAGACTGCTACTACAAGTGAAACACTCTGCTGACAGATGGCACCACCTAAATACTTGAGTGATAACCCACCAGTCCTATTCATTGAACTTAACTGCTGATCAATCGAACCGTATCAAGCACATTTTTGCTCTAAATTCAACATTGAATATTTCCACGAAAATTACAGTTATTCGGATACGGTTTTCTTCATTCTGAAGATTGATCCATTGGGTATATGACATATATACTGCTGATGGAAATACATGGTAACCTCTGGCTATACAGGGTGACAAACAAACCTCTGCAAAATATTGAAAAATTCTCCATACTCCCAATTTAAGCATATTCTCCTAATTCTCAAGCATATTCCTCGAATTGGTCTCGCAATTTTTCTCTCATCTTTTCAGATTTTCGAGAAAAAATTTTTTTTTTTGAAAAATGTGATCATTTGTACTACTGACCAGAATTATTTTCATTTGGAGCTCAAATATCACAGATTCCCTCTTGGATGAGGTATTGTGATCTTAATTGAATGAAATCTTATATTGTTCATATACAGAGTGTTTGGCAATAATATTTGATAGATATTATTAAAGGAAGACCGATCACAACACATTGATCAACTTGTATAGTGTACGAGATTGAATGATAGCAACTTTTCTTGAAAGAGAAGCATAAACGGGAGAAAGAATGTACAGGGTGAATTACCAAGATTGATGGAAGTTTTATACAATGAAACTGACAGTTCAGAAGTGTATGTGATATATCGATGAATTCTTATTCATCTCTCTTACTCTTACTCATCATTGGAATGTTGCTCAGTGTAGAATATACGAGTTGATTCACAATAACCTGCTTATGAGTAGAAAATTCGAAGAAGTTGTCTTTGTTTACTCGAAAAGAGAAACAATAAGGCAATAACTGAGATCTATCAATTGAAAACGATGAAACAATAAGCACTGGAATGAAAAAAAATCATGGTTCAGCATTGGGTAGGTCCCCCTCGCACCCTCAACACTTCTTTCAATCAAACTCCTAATGAATTCATGTGGAATGCGCTTCCATTCCTCTTGATCAGTTGATTGATATTTTTGATTGGATTCG